GATCTTGAGGACTTTAAGATACTTTTTTAGAATTTTGATTTTGTCTTTGTGTATAAAGCTATAGACTATATTATATAAGTATTCATCTTGTTGTTTAATGTCCTGGAACCATTTCTCTATTACTCATTTAACTTTTGCTTGGCTCTTGTCAGATAGATCTTTTGTTTTTCTAATATATTGAAAGATTTTACTTTGAGATTTACCCCATATAATTGATCTTTTACTTTGGATTTTGTGATATTCAAAAAGATGTTTCAGGGCTTTTTCTCTTATAATTTGCATATTAAATATATTGTATTTGAATATAGGTCTAGTTTTTTTTTCTGTATTACTTGGAGGGTAGGAAGCTTATCATAAGTTAGGTTTATCAGAAAACTCTTGTCCTTGTTGATGCTAAAGGAGATGTAAAAAATATTGTATAAATTGAATTGTCTTTAGAAAATTTGTTAGTTAATTTCTTTATTAGAGTATATCTATCAATCTTAAATATATTTTTGTTTAGTCCAGGCTAGTCCTATTTTCTTAGTATTTCATTTTTTAAGAAAATCTTTAATACTGATATTAATAGTATATTTCTTCTAGACTACTATTGTGAGAACTTGAATCAAATCAGGTGTTGTTATAAAATCAATGATTTTAATAATATTCTTTCATAGTTTTTTTTTAAAAAATTTTATCTATTTTAATTTGATCCTGAATTTAAGTAACATAAAATTTTTTATACAATAATTAAATAGTAAAATATATGCCAATAAAGGATTATAAACAAGTTCTTATTAATTACTTTATATATCAAATAAATTTTCTTATTTTTATAAAAATTCAGGATTTATTATAAATTACTTATCTTATATTTGTATAAATATATAATACTGTTTTTATTAATTATGATTTTTTTTGAGGCTTGACTTATTTTTATTGTGTATTTAAAATTATTATACAATTTAAAAAACTTTCATATGACTTCTCACCCATCTTAAATATTTAACTTCTTTAGATACAACTTAGGGAATAATATTTTGTTCTCTTAATAACTTGAATTATTCTTTAACTATCAAGTTCATTGCTTATAGGTTATTACTGTAAATTATTCAAATTCTGAATGGCAGATCAAATACATAATCAATTTTTTCTTTTTACTATTTATCTTTCAATAATTTCTTTAATATATGTTACTTGTCAAAGACCCCATCATATGTCCTTGTCCTTACTAATATTCAAGTCAAATTTATGGTCTATTATAAATATTATAGATATAAGATTCATTAATGAAATGATAAAGGATAAAGACTCAAGAAATTAGAAACAATTCATAAGCATGATACCCTTTACAGTGATATTTGAAAAGAAAAATTTTGATTAATGACAATGGTGACATATACCTAATTGATTTTGATATGGCAGTCAAGAGAAAATAAGAAAGAGAACTTTTCAAGAAAAACAGCTCAAATATCCTAACTTGATAGATATAATAAAATTCTTGTATTGCAATTTTTTGTAATCCTAGTTTCTTATTAATAAATATGTACAGTATTTTATAATTATTTCATAAATACAGGATAAATTTCAAAATTACATAAATTTCAGTAGTTGGTTAGACAATAGTATAAAAACTTTGATATGTATCATGGATAAAGTCCCACATATATTTATTTGTTACGTATTATATCATGCTATTAATTTATTAATAAAAATTTTTTTCTTATAGAAGTAATCAACATGACAATTTGTTACACACACATTATTATTATTATTATATTTATCTATTGTTTATGTATACTACTAATTAGAACTTTTTGATTATTTTTATCCTATAATAAAACAATATCAAAAGCTTATCCTGCAATAAAACAATGTCAAAAGTTCAACTTACAATGAATTTGTACTTCTCAATTGTAGATTAATTATCTATGATAACGAATTATGAGAAAACATTAATAGATAAGAAAATAGATGCTTCATTACCTAAAAAACTGATTCTAGAGATGATTTAATATCAGTTTTTAATCTGTTATAGATGAATGCTTTCTTAGATTAAGTATATGAAAAAAGTCAGTGATAAGATTAGACAATGCATTAGGAAGAAAAAACTTCAGGCTCAAGTATTTTCTAATACCTTCTGAAAAGAAAAGGTCTTAAGTTCTTGACTGGATTATAAAGTCACACAATAGTACATTATTAAAAGTATCAGATGGAAGGGTAAGTAGCTTCAGAAGAAAATATATGTAAAGAATGGGATTTAAAGTGCAATACTATATAGGTGCGAAATAATACATATCTACATATTATTTTGAATATGTACATATGCATTATTTCAAGATAAAGTATTAATTTTTTAAACCATTTTTTTAAAATAATGCTTATGGATATTATTTAGCTCATAATAATTTTTATTAATATAAATGTATGATTTTTAAGGCTGGATGAGGGCTTATAAAGATATACAAATAAATATAAGCTACAAAGATCTTATTTTTCACATAGAACAATAAAAAAATTAGATAATAATAGAAATAAGACTTTGTTATATTTACCTATTGTTCACTTTATTATAATGTCTTAACATATTTGATACTTTTTATAATTATAATATTGTTATAAGCATTTGTGGCTATATAATTTGCTGATATAATATAAACATTTAAAAAATATATATTATATAAAAATTTATTATATCATTTTTCTTATTTTCATATAATTATAAATATGAATTTTAACAAAAAATAAAGCTATACAATATCTTTTAAACTTGAAGTAATATTATATGCTGAAAGTACATTCAATCGCAATACATCAATATATTATAAAATATATTGAAAATGTGTTCAAGAATGGAGAAAGTAAAAATCTGAATTTGAAGCTATTAAAAATAATTCAAATTTAAATTCAAATCATGTGTGAGTACTTGAAGAACATGGTTAAAAAGCAATATATTCTATATTAGAAGAAAAATTAATAAAGTTTATCAAAAATATGCAAAAAGAAGAAAATGTTGTTACAACATATATAATTGAAAAAAGGCTAAAGAATTAGGCAAATCATTGGCTCTTGAAAATTTTAAGACTCATATAGTTGGATTGAACGTTTTAAACATTGACACAATTTAATACAATGCATTCATACACAAGTAGCACAAAAACTTCTAGAAGACATACCATTAATTATTAAAAATTTTCTTCAATATTCACGTAAAAAAATGAAAAATATTGAAAGAAAGTTTATTATTACATTTGATGAAACTCCAATGTGGTTTAATACGCCTAGAAATTCAACTATTGATTTTTATTAAATATGTGAAGTACCAATTAAAACTACTAGAAATGACAAATTGCATTTACAATCATTTTAGGATATATGGCTTCAGGAGAAAAACTTCCACCAACAGTTATATTCAAGTTAGCAAATGTATCAAAATGTAAATTTCTAAAAGATAATATTGTAACAATGGCAACTCACGCAAATATGCATGGAAATTTAATGCTTGTTACTTATATTCCTCAAGCTATTAGAGCTAGACCAGATGAATTTTTTAAAAATAAAGGCATAATATTTGTTGATTGTCATGGGTGTCATATACATGATAATGTAATGAAAGCATTAGCATTGAAAGGTTTGACTGTTATAAAAATACCTGATGAAACAACTAGTGTTTTACAACCACCAGATGTTTCAGTAAACAAGCCATTTAAAACAAAAATGCGAAAAAAATGGGAAGAATGGATTATTGATGGAGAAAAAGAATTTACAAAAAATGAAAATCGCAAAAAAGTTTCTTATGAACTAATTTGTAAATGGGTATCAAAAACATGGAAAGAAATTAGTACTGAACTCTTAGCAAAATCATTCAAAGTAACTGGACTTATATTAGATACTAATGATAACGAAGATTATAAAATAACAGATCGACTTAAAGCTATTGTTGAAAATCGTATAAATAATATTAATATAGAAGAATTATATGATAGAAGAATATTATAATTATGAAACCGATGAAGAGGGAGATTTTATGGAAATAAGTGATTAGGAATAAATAGAAAATAAAAAAATTTTTTTTGTATTAAATATTATATAATAAAGTTTTAACCAGCTTGCCAATTATTATATTTTTATATAAGTGCGCGTTATTTTGAATACGCCCATGGGCATTATTTTAAATAAATGTTTATTTTTTTAAATGAGCCATTTTCAAAATAACACACATGGGTGTTATTTCGCGCCTATACAGTAAGGGGAAAAGTGTGAATAAGCCGGAGTTGTCTTCACAAGAGCCATCAATAGAATAAAATCATGTGACCTAAATTTCCGAGACATTAGGTCCCGGAATAGTCACCTCTGACAACAAATCTAACATTGATGAGGCCTCATAACCTCTAGCCCAGTTATGCGATAAAGCTTTTGATGCTGAAGACAAAGTAAATCGAGCTAATCAAGAAGAAATTCTATGCCGATCCTTCTATGCGAAGGATTTCAAAATTCAGTTCAATATAATTACGGAAAATAGTGGGGTAAACTCTGTGAAAGGAAAGAAAGAAGCTTACTGTATATTTCATTACAAACATCTCGCAGACAAAGATCCAGTTTACAACTTCGAGACGTATCACAATCGCGCAAGAAAACCAAGATAGCTAAATTTTTCGAGAAGATGAACCTAGATAAGATCATGTATTAAATCTGGACGCTACGAAAATGAAATATAATGAGGTGAATTAGTAGTGTATATTTTATTTTTTTAATAAAAAATTATGGGTATATACTTATACTCTATTCTCCAGTTCTATAGATTCGAAATTAATTCACGTGGAAAAGGTCTTTTACGGAACTTAATCTTTTGTATAGTCTATGCGAGTGAGTGAAACGATAAGTGAAGATATTGTATATGTAGCTGGTCTCAATGAAAGTAATGTTTTGCCTACAAATTTACCTTTTACATATTGAACCTTTATATTTTAATCGCGAATGAAATAATGAGGTTCTTTGACTAATAAACGTCTCTCTCCGAAATGCAACCGCCCGTGCGCGAACTAGGGCCCCTTTATTTTAAGCCCGGCTTCTCAAGTCCAGCGAACTGGCCAGCCATAAACGTTCTACGATCTGTAGAATTAGCAACAGGCAGTACGAACTAGGGCCCCTTTATTTTAAGCCCGGCTTCTCTAGTCCAGCGAACTGGCCAGCCATAAACGTTCTCTACACAAAAACTGTGGAGATACATATTCGGAAAGGAAATGTATATATAATATGATGATGGGATTGAATAGGTATATATAATTGTCTTGTAGTCACGTGGTTTGTGTTGATTAGAAACACCTACCAGTAAATTACTTTCGCGTACGCGTACAGAATGCCGAGTAAAAGAAATAAAGAAAAAAGACTGCGCAGAATTATGGATAAAGAGAAGAAAGAGCTTGTATGTGATGTTACTTTTAAGCCTTAAATAACATTTTGTATCCTGATTTCAAAGATACGAAAATCGCCTTAGGCTCGGCATAGCTTTATTCAATTAAGAACCTCCAATAAGGAGAAGAGAATTGCAAACATTAAACAGCGTGCGTTTATGAAAAAAGAAGTAAAACAATTAATAAAAAAAAAGCGGAAACATTCAGGTATGTTTATATTTCAGTGACTGCAGAAAATATGATCTTTGTTCATGAATAATTAACTCTTACAGTATCTACAGCTATGGAAGCGCCTGACAGTTCAGAAGACGAAATCGATGACGTGATAGACTGGGAGTTTGACACGCCAATTCCAAGCTGGTTACAAAAAGCGATAAAGCAACATAAATCATTGACTTCACAAACTGATTCATCTGAGAGATTCAAATTAGCAAAAGAGTAAGTGCTTACTTAATAAACGCTAGCCCATTTTGTTTCCGAATCCTAATCAGATTATTATTTAGACCAACATGGTGGCGTATTATCGATGCATCAGATCCAAAGATTTCTCAAGACTTCCTTTCTGAAACGGAATTTTTAGAGTTGAATAACAAGATTTCATCCGCTCTTAATATTGGAAATTCCGTGAATGATTGGACTGTGCTTAGACCTGAGGCCGAAAGGTGTCTTCAGTTTCTTAACAAGGTAAATTATAAAATGACAATATGTTATCTCGATTCTTTAAATAAATTTATTGACCTGCATTTTTTTCTTATTCCTAGTTGGATAACAATAAACTTCGTAAAATTGGAGAATTAGTAAAACCAGAAGGAATTCACGGAGCAATTGTAGAACTCATGAAAATGGAAATGGAGGCTGAGGAGTCAAATTCAGAAACTGATCTTTTTGATGGTGATGACCATTCATGTGGTAAGGCATCATCAACAGCAACCACTATTGAGGAAAACGATTACTTAGACAAAGATGTTAGCTATATTTTAGAATTGATACGATTTACGTGAGTTCATTTGGTCATTCTCGTATCCACAGCTTTTATTATGCTCCTCTTGAACTATAATTTTGATTAGGTGTGAGATGTTAGAAAAGAAGAACCCACTGCGAAAGAACTCGGAGAGAGATATCAATACGTTTATTAAACGACATATATTCTCATGTCTTGGAGATATCCTGGACGGTCATTTGTAAGTTTCGTAATCATTTTCATTGCTGATAATAATACTAAAAAAATTTTTTTTCTCCAATAAGCGGAGATATGGTTTCAAGAGCATCCAGGGATCGACGATATAGATCAGCAGATGCTTCGGATAACACAGAAGGGTTTCATCTTGATTGTATGTTCACGGTATGATAGATTCAAACTTTTTAATTATCCCAAAATTCATTTACTAATTGAAGTCACAGAAACACGAATTAGAGAAAGATTTACCATGGGGTCGAGAATTCTCTATGTGCGAATCAAAAGTTGATGACGATGCAAAGGATATTCTCAAGACCCAGAAAACACTTCGGGATATGCATAAAAGCCTTGTGAATGCAATCATGGCAGAGAGTGGCGGATCACTTACAAAGCATGTTTTGCGTGCTTACACAGAACTTCTCATGCCTGGATTTGTATCAAAATCTTTTTTTATCCGCGCTATTCTCATTGTCTACGTGGGCGGTAATTTCTATTTATCATCCGAGTTGGCGAAATTTAATATTCCTACAACGTACGATGAACTTGGAGAAATCATTAAAATTGCGCGGATTATGTTACAAATTAAGGTAGGATAGAATTTAATCTGATATTCTATAATATAATTTATTCACTCACCTGTCTTTTTACATACAGAAATTATTAAGTGCTACTGTCTCTCGATTCAATCGTATAAAAGAGAGAGCTGCAAAAGAAAAATTTGCCTCCGGAAAAGTGGTTATGAATGATGGTAGTAAGGAGAACCTGACACCAAAAAAACAATACGATAAATAATATGATGTTCATTTTGATGAAGTGGCAAGATTAATAGTTAATAATTATAATAAATAATAATTTTTACTTGATTTTTAAATATTATATTTATCCATAATAACTTTGATAAAAGTGCGCGTGATTTTATTTATTCGTCGTTGCAGGTTCCTAAAGAAAATGTTTCATTTCAACTGTAAACATATTACTGATAAACTCCTAGTTAACTGGTTAGAAGAGCATATCAAAGTTCTTTTAAATCATTTTAAATAGGAAATACAAAAATATGGCATGGAAAAATTTATTATATTATATTATCAGAATGTACCGTATATATTCGAAAATAGGTTACCTTTGAAAGCTATCCACCAGAATCTTATATAAATTTTAAGTTTCGAAAATAAGCTACTAGTACAATTTTTTAAGCTTTGATGTATAAGTCACGAGACAAAATAATATACAGTATATATATACTTTTACCTTTTATTAGGCTAGTTATTTTTTTGTGTATCCGCAGTCAGGTTAGATCGTATTTATTAATCAATTGAAAACATAAGTATATTTTCACTTGAGCAGCATAATACATATTATAGTTAAACATTTCTATCAATTCTAACAAACTTGTCATAATCTTTAAGTTTGACCTTGAGAACAATATTTTGCTTTATAATGAACTTTGAGTAAATATTCTTTTAGTCTAATACTTTATTTCTAGCAGATTATCACTGTTATATATCCTATCAAGCTATTGAAATACAGGAGGAAATAGGTTAAAAAAAAAAAAAAAAAGGAATATAAAAAGTGCATATATGTGTGGCAAGGAAATGAAAAATAAAAAATGATAAAAAAAAATCTTTAGCTTCCTTCAAAAATCTACTACTTAAGATCTTTTTGCAATAAAAAATATCTTATTGAAAATCTTTTTGTTTTCTTGATTATCTAATGAATTTATCTATTTTTTATTTTAATTTTTTTCTTATATATTATTTAAAAAGACTTATAGTTTAGTAAAAATCTTTACTTCCAGTAATATATCTATTGTATTTTTTTTTTTTTTTTAAATCACAACTGGTATTAGATGTAAGCGCTTTTATTAAGAATTAACTTAATATCTTAGATAATGAAATCCTGGGCATTACATCAATCATCTCATACAAACTATATATTTTTCTATATACATGCAGATTAATGATAACCTATCACGGTTTTCTTTAGGTGGATCCACTAATCACTCTGTAAGTGAGGCAGATTCAGCTAGGGACCGGATGGTTAATATACAGTTATTGACAGCGAAATAGGCTAATTTAATATTGAGCTTTTATAAATTTTTAATTATATTCACTAAACTAATCTGTATAATATGTACCTGACGGGATTTAATTTATCCTCAGATATTATTCGCTCAGACCTCAGAAGAATACACTTTACCTTCTTTGATACCATCTATGGCATCAGATCAGTTCCATTTGACTGATTTTCATTTAAGCGGAGCACCATATTGAAATATTCTGAGCTAGAAAAGTGGAGGTTCTAAAGACTGCTAGGGCAGAGAGTCTTGTAGGATATTTATGGTGGATTAGACCAGAAGCCTTTCTTCATGCAATCCTTCCAGTAGTACAACCATAGATCTCAGCCCCTGATCGATAGAAGACTAGAAGTCCTATCTTCATGCAGCCTAATCTGATTAAAGCTTATTCCAGATGATTGGATACGACTTTCACAGGATAACCGGTAAACCTGATCAGAAAGGTAATTTTAATTTTTAATCCTTAAGTAGTATTGAACTACAAACCTTGTAATTGCGATCTGGGAGCACTACTACTGTGCTATTGATTCACATGTCATAATATATCTATTATAAAATGTCATATAAATCACTTCTATATATTAAACTCTTCATAAATTGGATTTTAATTTGCTATATATTATAATATTTATTTTTAATATATCTGATACTTATTATCAAAAATAAAGAATTATATTATAAATTTTATTTAATAAAAATTTATCTCAAAAATTAAAATTATAAGAAAGCAAATAATATTTTTTTAATATTAATTAATTTTTTAATTTTGGACTTTATAAACTTAGAATATTATAACATATATTTATATTTTTTAAAAAAAAATTAACTATATTATTATTATAGATATATTTATATTTTTGTTACTTATATACTTTTAATAAAATAAAATAACTACAGTATATTAACATATGGGTCTATAGCACAGTGATAGTGCTTTCAGGTCACAATCACAAGATCTAAAGTTCAATACTACACAAGAATCATATGAAAAAGAATAAATAGGTTATATTAAGATGGGACTTCTGGTCTTCCTATTGATCCCCAAGCTGAAAAGGATCTATCACAAGGATTGTATAAAGAAAGGCTTTTGATCTAGTTACATGAATTACGTCTAACTTAATTGTCCTGAACTAAACAGGAAACCCCTTTTAGGATTGTAGTAATCGTTTGAATACATCACTAACTTCAAACTATATTAGCAGACTCTGGAACCCCACTTTCAGAACTGTGATGGTCATCTAAATATTTCCTACTCCAAACTGTATCAGCAAACTTTGAAATTCCACTTTCAGAACTGCAATGATTATCTAAATATTTCCTATTCTAAACTATACCAGCAGACTCTGAAATCTGACTATTTTAGCTTGGAATATTCCAATCCAATACTTGCTTAAATAAAGGATCTATCAAATAGGACTTGTCTATAATGCTGCAGTTAGTGACAAATAGGATAGAATTCCTTCCAAAATTCAAGTAAAAAGTATTAGAGTATCTGGATGGTTAAATAATCCTAGAGAATTTGACACTAGTGTATAAGCTAGTATATATAGTATAATAATTATAAAAACTAATATATAGTTCTAAATTAGTTATACTAATAATACTATTGATAACTATTTATCAACCATCCAGTCTTTAGTCAGGTATGCTTTCCCGCTTAAAAGGTTTTAAGCAGGTCTATCTAGAACAAACTATGATAAGTTATCATTAATCTGCATATATATATACAAGATTATTGATATAATGCTTAAGATTTAATTATCAATAAATAGCTTATATCTAATACCAGTTACAGTTTAAATTATAAAATAAATAAAAAAATAACTATAGTATATTAATAAAGTCTTTAACCAAATTTTTATATCATAAAGTTAATTTATGTAACTTTTTTATTTTATTATATATATATATTTATATATATTGTTAAAATAAAAATTAATTTTATGATAAAAAATTTATTCAAAGATTTTATTTTATTTTTTTTTTTTTTTGTCCTCTGTCAAGTTAATTATGTATGCTTTATTAAACATTTGTAGACTATATATATAATATAAGATACTAAAGCTAATTTTTTAATTAACTCACTTGTTTTGATTATTTTACCTTTCTAAGTGTAACTTTGAAAGTAATTTATCGCTCCATTAGGAGTTTAGATAAATACCTTTTCAACTTCTAATATAATTGTCTACAAATCACTACTACAGATTTTGTTTAAAGGCTTTATTATTTTTTTTTTTAAAACCCTCTGTCAGGCTAGTTATGTGTGCTTTATTAAACAATTGTAAGCTGTACATATAGTATGA